AAAGCACCCTGTTCCTTCCCTTCATAGCACTCATTTTCCTCTGTTTCATAAAACTGTACTTGTATATGAATTTGCATGTTTACTGGTCAATAATATGTCTCCATCACTGAACTGTGAACTCTTCATCCTATCTTATGAAGCACATCGCTTATGTTTACCTCTGTACATCTACTCAGAGCAAAGGACAGCATCTGGCACATAGTTAAACCTCAGTCAGTAATAACTAAATAAAGAAGGACTAAATAAATAAAGTACCTCCTCTTCCCCTTTGAACAGGCTTAGATAAATGCAAATAAATGGGTTAGAATGGTGACCAAACAGTGAAGACACTGTCTGCAGTAAACAACAGGGTCATTTCTCCCAGCCCAGTCTTCACTGATGAAGCAAAGCACAAAAAGAAAAGTAGTACTGATTGTGACCAATTAGGCTTCTCTAGTCTTAGCTCTGCCATGGGCAACAAGTCAAAACTCATTTCATCTTCTTGGAGAAATTTACAATTATCTCTCCCTCCCATTCAAGAGGACTGACTGAGGTTTCTCTGAAATTTTAGGAAAAGTTACAACACAGAGATTCCTACTCTCAGCCTAATAGTAAACTGGAAGGGTCATATATATAACTTTCTTAATTCTGCTAAATTACAAAATGAGTCAAATATTATAAATAATAAACCCTTTTGGCCTGTTCTAAAGTCTACCCATGCCTACAGGGGGATAGAAAAATCTTTTCTGGGACACTTGAAAATTCTCCAGCCTTTTTCCCTCAAGTATTTTTTTGATTGAGATATAATTCAAATACCATAAAATTCGCCCTTTTAAAATGTACAATTCAGTGGTTTTTGGTATACACTCAAAATTATAGCCTCACCACTATCTAATTCCAGGACATTTTCATCATCTCCCCCAACTCCCCCCAAAACACACACACCAACCCATGCCTGTTAGCAGTCATTCCCCATTCCTCCCTCCCTCAGTCCATGTCAGGCAATACTTTACTTTGTGTCTCTATGGATTTTCTAGCCTCTTTTATTTACTTATTTTTCATTTGTGAAACTGAAACATAAAGATGAAAAGATTTGTGCAGGGCTACAGGGTAACTTAGTAAGAGAGCAAGGCCTAGAACACACATATTTATAGTGATTAAAATGTATAAAAAATGAGCAAAAATACGTATAGTTCACCTATAAAACATCTGATGTAAAATCAGAGTCCTCGGAACAGTAATTCTTAGGCAATGTGCAACTGGGGGGAGGCTGAGGGTGAAGGTGGAGTGCTTGTTAGAAATCAATGGAGAGAAAGTGGGTCGTTACTGGTGGAAGGGTATTGCATTTATGAACAGGGTGATGCAGAGAGAAAGTAGAGGAGGATATGTTAAGCCATGTGATTTTTAAGGCAGCTGCATTTATTTTCAGCCCTGAGTTTTGGAAATGGTGCCGAAATGCTCAGGTGTCCACTTTGCACATGTCATGGTGCCCTTGTCGATGGGTCCCTGCAATCTCTGATTATTTCCAGTTTGTTCATGAATAGTTAATGCAGTCAGAGCTAACACCACTCCAGAAGATTTGCTCATTAATGATACCTTGCACAATAATGCAGGAAGCCTGACTTGCTTATATTCTGTCTACATTTTCAAATAAATAGAAGACTTACAACTTTAATTTGCCACTGTTACCTTCAATAAATGTGTATGTGGGGCAGTAATCTTCTCAGAACAAAATCATCAGACTACATTTGCAAAAATAATCAGGCACACATTTTATTTCAATGTCTTAATCAACACTGCAGATACCATTAACATAAAAGAAAAAGTAGTGAAACTTCTCATCACACAGAAAAAAAATTCATCGTTCAAAAAAGATCTGAACCTCAACATTCTTTGTGCTCATTTAAAAATATTATTAAAACAGCAATTCAAAAGGACAAACTCAAAACAAAGTACTGTATTAATTAAAACTGAGACCTCCAAACCAACTAAAACTACACAACTTAAAAATAATACATTGTCTTTAACCTAAAGAGTTTTATTTGCCAACATATAATGAATATGCTGGAACCTACCACTGGGTAAGCGAACAAATTTTCTGTTACAATCAAGTTATTCTGAATTATAGAGATTCTTCAAATGATTAGATTTTGTTTTGAAAAAGACTGCTAAATTGCCTCTTCGATCTATTTTTAGCATTGAACACTACATGACACATATAACATTTAAAGCTGAAACTCCCTGCCCACCAAGTATTTTATTAAAATTGTTATTAAATAAAGGAGCTCTGGTGGCATAGTGGTTGAAGGGTTGGGCTGCTAGCCAAAAGGTTGGTAGTGCAAACCCACCAGCCACTCTGTGGGAGAAAGATAAGGCAGTCTGCTTCCATAAAGATTTAAAGCCTTAGAAATCCCGTGGGGCAGTTCTACTGTCCTATAGGGTTGCTATGAGTCAGAATCAACTCGATGGCAGCAGATTTGGTTTTGGGTTACTAAATAGAGAAATTAATTTAAAAAGTCAACTCCTAATTGCAAAATAAAGCTTTGGTATCAGTAAGTTAAAATTAGGAAATCAGAGTACATTTTGTACGTAGCTTTACGTTATGGTTTTGGAGTTAGGGTAAGTCGGAATACGTCTATATATGGAAATGTAAAGTTCTTGTTCTTCTGTTATATACACTAGTGTGAGAAATTAACAGTCTCATTATTTCAAATTACTGATACAAAGCATTAGCCTAAAGTTTCTCCCAAATAAGATTGCTGGGTCACCTCAAGCAACTTAAGAGTAAAATGTAAACATAGAATTAGGTACTTTATTTTTAAAACTTTCTTTCCCCTTTTGACAAGAGTAGCAAAATACTAGAATAAAAATAATTCCAATAAGGGTATCCAGAGTATATCAATTTCAGTTCTCCCTTCTGATAAGAGCTAACAAAAACAACAAAACTTAAGAGAGAATAGGGTGTGTTTTTTTTTTAAAAAAAAGAGAGAGAGAGCAAACTGCGCAAGGGGAGAGAATGGATGGGTTTGGGAGAATACCTGCAACCAATTAAATCTTTTGGAAAATCCAAAGTTTTAATATAAATCCTCCTTAAATTATACCTAGGGTCATACACATATGAAACTGGACCTTTCTTTCAAAAACATTCAGGGTATTAGACAATTTACAGAAACTATTAATACATTTCTTTTTTTCAAGGGGCAAAAGAGAAACAAAATACATAATATATGTATGAATTTTCTTTTTTGAAATAGTTCCTCTGAAAAACTTTCTTAAATTCAGTTTTTGCAAAGTTCCTACACTCCAAGTCATGAAGTAAACACTGAAAACAACTTTATTTATGATTAATTGTTTATGGAGCATAACACTGTTCATAACTCGAGATCGAAGTAAAATAATTCAGAGTTAATTCAAATTAAACCTTTGAATTCTAGAGATGATACAAAAAGAAAATCGGTAAAAAATACATTTTTTTTTAAAAAAAAGTATGTTTACTTCTCAAATAATTTAGTTTGGACAGTATTTATAGTCTAAGAGTTTAAAAAATTTTAGAGTTTGAAAAGTTTTATAAACAAAATTGATTCAATAGTTATCAAAGGAAATGACAATAAACTTTAACGTTTCACCCAAACCAAAATAAATCACTTTAGTTGAGCTCAGCTCACTTAATTTTTTAAATTATCTCTTCTCCAGCTTCATAACATACATTGCTCAACAACCTTACCTATGTTAAAAGTGAAGATAAAAAGTGTTATAAAGATTGCACAATCAATGAATGTGAGGACATAATATACAATCATGACATTTTAAAACTAGGAGAGATCTTTAAGACCTAATTCAGCACTCTCATTTTACAGATGAAGAAACTGAGGCCCAAACACATCAAATGACTAAAGTCCTCAGCTGAGCCATTCATTCATTCAACCGCTTACTGACAGCTGCTGTCTAAACGCCAGGCTTGGCACTAGGTGCTGTAAATGAGTTGGAAAGCAGCTCTCCTGAATGCCAAGGCAGTCTTTTTTTTCCTGACTCCTTACAATTACTAAAATCTCCTAAACAGCAAAATTCATTGACGATTACTACATTCTTTGTAGAACCAAGGCCACTTTCATTTTCACACTTTTCAGTAACACAGTTGGGTTTACTTCAGAGAGGCCTCCACTGCGTTCACTTTAAGTGATTAAACATTAACAAAAGGAGGCAAAGCATTCTGAGTGAGTCCCTTTCCAATACGTTTATAACTCAAGGAAGTACAAACAGAAAATGCCCTACACACACAGAGAGGACAGCTTACAAAATTGGAGTGATCTGAGGTATCATTATAGACCAATCAAGTCCAACAGTTTACAAAGTGTGGAATGGAAATGTCTCCCACTTCATTCTGATGTGGGCATACTTTTGAGATGTCTGTGTGATAAAAAGAAGTGCAAACTCACATTCAAACTAATGCCCTCTTCCAATGATACATATATTTAAACCTAAGGTCATTTTCTATCAAATCAACTTTTTTTAAAATTTCTGATTAAAAGCAAATTAGATTGAAAAATAAAATCTAAAATTCAATGTGCTGGCTAAAAATATAAATTCTATATATTATCAAAATAGCATTAGTTCAAACTACCTTTTATAAGCTTTCTGATTTTATCATATAGTGTACAGTGAACTACCCATCACCACAAACCATACATCATTTTGCTTAGACTTTTACATTCTTTAATACTAAGTCTGGCACTTAAACGTTTTGTGCATCTCAATTCACAGTCTCTTCTTTGAGGACCTATCAGGGACCATTCTGACAAGACTCTTAAATAAAACAATCCATAAGTAAGGCACTTTGAAATATTAAACAGCAGCACCCTGTGGACCCAGTTTCAGTGCAATATACCAAAATGAACCACAGCTTTTACAGAGCTCTCCAGGTATCTGTTAGGTGATTTCTGACAAAATATAATCTTCACTAAGGCTCTTGGATTTTCCTGAGGCCACTGTCAGCTCACAACCAAAGTGCAGTTTGTGCTCTCCTACTTCTCAAACCTCCAGATTTGATTTTTATCTAGAGCATTACAAGTTCTCATTCGTACATCAGGCCGGCCCTCAGGTGTCCGATAAGCACTCAGACACAGTCCTGAGTGTGGATGAAAAACGGTTCCATCTTCTTTAAAATGCCAAATAATGTTTGCTGGAACAGGGAACCCATCTTTAGGACAAGTTTGCATTCCGACATATTTCTTTTGCTCAGAGACTACTGCACATAACTCCGTCACAGAATTAAACCGTATTTCTTTGTTAGAAGTGTATTCAAAGAACTGATTTCCTCCTTGGCCGTGGCATCCAAAGAGTGAAAGGTTAGCACCTGTGGGGTTGTTGTCAGGAGAATTATAATCTAAACACTCGGAAGAAATCCCAATACTGCGAACTGCTCCATGCCAGCCTGGTCTATCCTCTGGAATGTGTAAATTAGAAAACACGTTTTTCAAATACCAGTCGAAGCTCTTGCATCTTAGCCGTTCTCGAAGTAGTTTCCTTTCGGAAATATCACCATAAGCTTCTTTCCTCGCTGGAGGGTTTCGATTGTAGAAATGTTGTTTGTACTCATCCATCCAGACTTCTGCTGCCCGAGCAGTATTCTGCAGGAAATTAGGCCTAGCATATGGTGCCCGATTGGGGAAGACATGTCCCACATGGGAACAAGGGTGGATTTCCAACTTACCGCCACACTGCCACACTCTAAAAGATAGCTCTAGGTTTTCACCTCCCCACACTTCCATTCCAGTGTCATAGGTTCCAAGGTACTCAAAATATTTCTTGCTTACAGCAAACAGTCCTCCAGCCATGGTGGGTGATCTGATAGGGTCTATTCTTGAAGAACGCCTATCTCTTTCATGTTTGGGGACAGAATGCCACTGGAATGTTAAACGCCAATCAAACCCACCAATCATGGGCTCTCCCGTCTGCATGTAGAATTCAAAAGTATTCCAATCAATGGTGTCTATAACAGGACAAACGATTGCCGTTTCATCTCTACTGATCCTTTCCAAAAGTGGTTCTAACCAACCGGAATTACATTCACAGTGACAATCTAGGAAAGTGAGGACATCTCCAGTGGCAAAAGTGGCCCCGATCAGGCGGGCCCTGACCAGACCCTCTCGCTTATTGGTTCTAATCAAGCGGACTCTATCGAGATTGCTGATGTAATTTTCAAGCTGTGTCTTCAAATAAACTCTGTCACTCAAGTCATCAACCAAGATGATCTCCTTCAAAAGGACTGCAGGAGAAGTTTCCAGAACACTGTGAATGGTGCGGAGCAAAGTTGACCAGGCTTCATTGTAAAAAGCTATAATAACTGAGGTGGTGGGAAGTCTCCGATAGTTGAACTTCTTGGATTTACACTCGTACATTCTTTTATCCTCTATATGGCGGTGCAGGGATATCCTGTCACTGAGGTAAATATTGATGGCGTATCTCTCAATGAGCTCTTGTGCCTGCTTCTGTTCACCCTCACTGAGATGGAGTTTGCTGGCTCTCCCCCACTCCCCGAGTGCATGGGAATCCGCAGGGGGCTTCTGATAAAGTGGTCGAGACAAATCCTCTGCCTTTTTCTCAGAGTCAGAGAGCTGTCTTTGCCACGACTCCCTGGCAAGGCCGGCTCCTGGGGAGGAATGGAAAGTGGAGACCGAGAGCTCCACTAGGATATAAGCCACTACTAAAAGCGCCAGCAGCAGGCAGCTCTTGCCTACCCAGGTCCACCTCACGGCCATTCGGATCCTCTTGGCTGGGGCGCAAACGCTGCCACTAGAGCCACCACGAAGGGGAAAGGCTGGGGGACCCCCGCAGCTTGAGTTCCCGGCTCAGGTAAGATGAACTTCCCAGCAGGTTCCTCCTTCTGCGGCTGGCTCTCAGAGCCCCTTCAGCGACTGAGGCTTCCCAGTGGTCACCTGAGATCTCTCGGTCCTGGGCCTCCGACACTTTATTTCTCCCCACTTCCTCCTGCTCGTCTCACAACTTTTCACAAACTCTCCAGCCAACACCCCACCCTCCCTGGGCCGAGAACAAACCCCTCCCCTTCCCGCTCACTCCACCTGGTGGTTAGTTCGTGAAATTCCTCGGCTAGAACCCCGCAGAGCCGCGGCTCTTTGTGGGAACGCGGCAGGAATGCGGGGCCAGAATGATCGAGGTGACCCCGGCAGGGACCCGCAGGACCCCCGGCTGCGACCATCGCGCCATATTCCCCGAGTCTCGAACCCTCTCACCCCTTGTGCGTCCCAAATGGTTCTCCCCGGGGGACTCAGCCTGGACAGGAGGAAAGGTTTTCCGCCAGATGAGCTTTTGTCTCATTACAGAAAGAAAAAAAAAAAAAAAAAAGAGAATAAAACCTACCGAGTTGTTTGCAGTTGGGGCTGAAGTCCACAGAGGTGATCGCAGCTTTGTGGCCTTTAAAATAACGCTCCAAAACGGGGTCCTCCTGGGAAGGAAAGTGGTCAGGTTTGAAAGCAAATGCAGACCTCTAAATTGGAGGGCCAGGGGGTCCGCGCTGCCCTCTCCCCCAGGGTTCGGCCTGCGAACAGCCTGCAGAGTGCCGGGTTTGCGAAGCAGGAATGCCCGCAGGCGCCCACTGCGGGCGCGGTGCCCTGTACTGAGTTATGGAGACGCTGGGCGCCAACTTCACTCGCAGCGCCGGCATAAGCCCTCACTAGCGTTTCCCCGACTCCGGCGCTCCGGAAAGACCACCGGGCCATTTGTCTAAAATGCACATTCCCGGGCCCCGCCCACAGGCAGGGAGCCGGCAGGTGTGGGGCGGGGCCCTGGCGTCATGACTTAAAATACCTCCCAAGTGATTCTGACGCAGGCACTCCACTAAAACCTTTAGAGAATCTAGGGGCCACCGCGCCACACGGGCTCGGTCCGGACCGCTGGGACTCGGAAAACAGCGCCCAGGAGTCCGATCAGGTCTGGGTGCTTCAGTCGCCTTTATCATTCCCTTCGTCGAGAGTGGGATGCGGACGCCCAGGCGCGAAGGACGAAAGGCTAGGGTCCGGCCTGCGGACACCTGCCTCCACCTCCCGCCAGGTGTCGGAGCGGCCCCTAACTGGCCTGCCAGCTCACAGCCCGCGGCCGGCTCCAAGGAAGCGGCGACAATCCATCCTTACCGGGACGCAGGCCATGGAGGCAGTGGTCGGCGTCAGGGTTCCGCTGATTGGGGAGAGGGCGGGGGAGGGAAAGGGAAGGGGCTCTAAGGGGGACCGTGCAGCGCCCGGAACCGTCTGCCTAGAGCGCCGGCGCCTCCCGGTCACTACAACAACGGCGGCCCAGTCAAACCCCGCGCTCCAGGCGTGGCCAGCAGAGCCCTGATGCCTTGCTCGCGCCACCGAAACCCGAAGCTCAGGCTGTGGGCGGACAGAATGCACGGGGGTCTAGTGTGACTCCGCACCAAAGCCAACGTTTACTAACACTTGTGCTCCCGGGTTTGATGCCGGGAAGGGGGCCTATAATGCTGATGGGACGAGATCAGTGTGGGGAGAGAGGGCACTAGTCTATGATCGATGCAATCGGAGTTCTAATATATGTTAAAGGGACAGCGCCTGCGCGTTTTAATTTGTTTTGCGGGCGGAGGGGGATTTGCAATGTAGGAAAACTGCTTGCTAGCTATTAATATGCTCAAAGGAGTTAAACCCCTGTAGGACAAATTTGAATTTATTACAGCACTATTTTTCACACAGTGCCCTGGGTGAAATACAGTAGATGCTGAATACATGTGTTAGGTGAATGAATGTTACACATTTACTTAATTTTTTCTGTTGTTTCTATTCTCTATTCATTTACGTATGCTTTAGAGCAGCATACTTACACAGCAGCATACTTAAAGTTTTTAGAAAGACTTATACAGAAACATCTTGTTTTGTTTAAATTGTTAGATCACCCAATAACTATAAGCATTTTTATCCGTAGTATCATTTGTGCTTCAGCAGCACTATGAAGTTGTTGGAGTTAAAAAATGTCATCAACGTTTACAAATTGTAAACTTGATATTTGGATATTTTACATATAATTGTCCAAGATCACACACAGATAGCTCTTCCAATTCAAAGTCCACAACCTATTTTACCTTGCCCAAAAGGATGAAAAGGAGCTCTGGTGACATAATGGAGAAGATAATTTGGCTGCTAACCAGAAGAGAATCAGCGGTTCAAACTCATTAGCTGCTCTAGGGAAGAAAGATCAAGCAAGCAATCTACTTCTGTAAAGATTTACAGCCTCAAAAACCCAATGGGGGTTGCTATGAGTCGGAATCAAGTCAGTGGCAGTGAGTTTAGTGGTTTGTTTGTTTTTTTCCTTTTTCTTAAGGATGAAGGATTCAGCAGAAAATTACATAGGGGAAAAAAAAAAATCTAGGCAGCATAAGAGGGCCTAACAGACCACACCTGGTAAGATATTTGTTCTATATGGAAATGAAAGGTATAGTATACCCTTTAATTACAAGGTCTCTAATTGTCTAATGATTCAAATTTATTTTTAATTGATATAGTACATAACAAGTATGAAGATAGGAAATAGCTTTAGATCACCGTATTGATTTAACTCAAGTGTATATTTATTGAATATACCTGCTGTACTTTTGGCCGTGAGGGAAACAAATGTGACTGAAATATTGCCCCTTCCCTCAAAGACTCAGTAATCTAGATTGATGAGTCTCATATTTTAGTGTGCATAGGGGGTGGCTTAGGGGGCCTCATTCCCAGAGAAATGAGCCCTAGTGGCACAGTGATTAAATGTTCAGCTGCTAACAGAAAGGGAACCTACCAGCTGCTCTTTGGAAGAAATATGTGACAGTCTGCTTCTGTAACCTACTGGGCAGTTATATTCTGTCCTATAGGGTGGCTATGCAAAATTGACTAGATGACAATGAGTTTTTTAAATTCCCAGAGATGTTGATTCAGTGTATATGGAGTGGGATCTAGGGCCCTAGAAATGTAACAAGTTTTTTTTTGGTGATTGCTAATGCAGGAATCCCAGCCATACACTTTTGAGAGATGTTACTGTAGGCCAGGAAATAATGATGCAAGAGCATTGATCCCAGCAGTTTGTCAGAAACCTATGGTGGGACTCTAAGCCTTGCTACTTATTCCCAGTCCAAGTCTGACTTTTTTATAATATAAAGACTGACATGATGAAAAATAATGCTAGAAACTCTGAAGAGTGAAAAAGACTTCTGGATCTCTGACTTTGTTGAGCCAAAATATGTCTAATATTGGTATAGCAGATGAGTAGGAAAAGGAAGAAAAAGCTGGCTATTAAGAAATAGCTCAAAAGAAAAGAGAGAGTGTTTAAGTGCATATTTCTATTCCTTTTTCCCAATTAACAAAGTATACATTTTTAATTGATACCTATTTTCATATCACCTAAAGGTTAACCTTTTTTAAAAAAAAAAAAAAAAATGTCATTTACCTGTGATGTATAACTACCTGTTGGGCAGTCTTAAATACTTTACAAATTTTCACTTTTAATCCTTGAACTAGTCGTTTTACCAGCATCAGTTGCATGAGTCGATTCTACCTCATAGGAACCCCATGTGTGTCAGAAGAGAACTGTGCTCCATAGAGTTTTCAATGCTGACTTTTCAGAAGTGGATAGCCAGGCCTGCCTTCTGAAGCACCCCAGGACAATGTAAATTTTCAACCTTTTGATTGGCGGCTAAGTGTGTTAACCATTTGTATCACCCAGGGACTGTCTTATTAGAGAGGTGCAACTATTATCATTTCCATTTGTACAGATGAGAAAATTGACACACAAAGATATTAAGTGACTTGCCTGAGGCACATAGGTAGGAAGTGGCAGAGCTTGGATTTTTGAAACTCAACTGTCTGGCTTCAGAATCCACCTTTTAATCATCAAGTATAATTTCTACATGATTGCAAGGATACTATAAATATGTAACATTTGGTGGCCCATGGTTAGGCGTTCAGTCTCTACTAAAGCCCAGTAACAAGCCAAAAGCTGTTTCTCAAAAGGAGAGTAATTATCTGCAGAGGATGGCAGGGCTTTGCTCCAAAATCCCCACAGTCTGTGTTGTAATTCACCAGTAGGGGCTTGCCAAAGACTCCAAACAGAATCTCTATCTGCTACAGACACTTCAAGCACCATTGGATCAGCTGGATTATATGGCCCAAGTGGCAGAGTAGCTTGCATGGCAGCCTGAACCTGTTGCGGAGCCTTCTTTTGTTCTGGGCCCTGCTGAAAACTGCCAGTTTTCTGAGTCACTTGATAAATAGGCCATAGTAACACACCCAAAGGAGGGATATATTGCCTCCAAATCCAAAGAGACCCATCAGACGTTGTGCTTCCTTTTTAGTTGTGGGGGAAGCCAGATATAATAACTTATCCTTCACTTTAGTAGAAATATCTCGACATGCCTCACACCACTGGACCCCTAGAAATTTCACCAAGGTGGAAGGTGCCTGAATTTTTGTTGCATTAATTTCCCACCCTCTAGCACACAGATGTTTCACCAATAAGTCTAGTGTCATTGATACTTCTTCATTACTAGGACCAATAGCTGCATACCGAGTACCAGGAGATGTACTGATTTGCTTAAGCAATGAAACCACATCAGGAACAGCAACTGCAATTGGAGTCACCACCTGATTAAATTTACGATAATTTACTGGCATTCTCCAAGATCCATCTGTTTTTTGCACAGGCCAAATAGGTGAATTAAATGGGGATGTTGTGGGAATCACCACCCCTGCATCCTTCAAGTCCTTGATGGTGACAGTAATCTCTGCAACCCCTCCAGGGATGCAGTATTGCTTTTGGTTTCCTATTTTTGTAGGTAGAGGCAGTTCTGATGGCTTCCATTTGGCTTTTCCAACCATAATAGCCCTTACTTCACATATCAGGGACCAAATGTGTGAATTCTGCCAATTCCTCAGTATATCTATTCCAACTATGCATTCTGGAACTGGGAAAATCACTACAGGATATGTTTGGGGACCCACTGGATCCACTGGGAGATGCACTTGAACTAGGACTCTATCAATAACTTGACTTCCATATGCTCCCACTCTGACTGGTGGCCCACAGTGATGCTTTGGGTCTCCTGGAATTATTGTCAGGTCAGAGCCAGTGTCCATTAATCCCCAAAAAGTCTGATTATTTCCTTTTCCCTAATGAACAGTCACTCTTGTAAAAGGCCTCAGATCCCTTTGGGGAAGGCTGGGGAAAGATTGACATTATACATTTTTGGCAATGTAGTGTGGTCCTTCCTCAAAGAGACCTGGTCTCCCCTTCATTCAAGGGGTTGTGGGCCTGTAAACTGACTCAAGTCCAGGAATTGATTTGAGAGGCCATGACTCTGTATTCTAGTGATTCAATCTAGGCTGCTGTTCATGTGACCTAGAATTCCCCTGTCTATACAGTCAAGTAAATATTCAGTAGGTTTGCCATGTATTTCACTCCTAG